GCTGCGCGTTCGCAGCGGTCTGAACTTGGAGGATCCAGCGGAGGAGTTTGACGGACTCTGCACCACCGAATTTCGTGACCTCGAGCTTGATCGGCTTCGGCCGAGAGGGATTTGTTGTTCGGAGATATGGAGCTCGTACGTTAAGCGCTCGACTTCACTCGCGCTGCGTGCGCGTGACTCTTCAAAGGTACGACCAAGGGCTGCCATGGTGGACAGCTGGCTTTTGAGAGCGGCGAAAAGTTCAGTCAGGGGGGTTACGGCATCCTTACGGCTTGGTCGATAAGTCGACCGATGACCTCCACCAGACGAGTTTGGTTCTCGGTGGAGAGACCGCCGAGAAGGGTCGCGGTGTCTTGTTCGCCGAACACCAGGTACATGCGGTCGAGGACCAGTTGATGCGCTGGCGTAATGGGGGTGGAGGAAGAAGACATAGACCGTGGACGAAAGTGGAATACTACCAGGTGTAAGCGTGCGTGCGCAGAGGAAGGCGCAGTAGTTGGTAAATTGAGAAGTGAATTGATAGCGTTATAGCAATCTAACGCTACGGCTAAGCTAAGCAGGACCAGTCATCTTGGGCTGGTAAACATAAAGGGCCGGGGGTGGTCCGAAGCAAAGGGGTGGCGACCCTTTGCTGTTTCCTTGGCACGTAGCAGCGTCGTTGGCCGCTCGTGGGTTTGGGTCAGACTTTGTCTTCAATCTGTGTGGCGTGGTACAGTCATGTGGATCCGGATCTTGTATCCGTAACTGTGACATGCGGTGTGTATTTGACGCAGACCGTACTGTAGGTTGGTCGATGCGGTGGTGGACGTGGAATGCAGCAGGCCCGCGTTGTTGCGCGGCGCGCGCCGGCTTGGATCTGGCCCCGCAGGGTGCCGGCCTTGGTAGGTTCATTCCAGCGCAATAGTTGTGTAAGTAGTGCGCAGGCGCAGAGTGTCGATGCAAGACAATACCCCTATAGAAAAGTTATGTATGTACTACGTAGTATACGCGTACATGTATTCTAACTTCCAGCTATGGTGTGATTCCACTTTTGGGCCTGGGCTCTCGCGTTCGACAGTGGCATCACGGCATTGATTGATGCCCTACATATCGAGCAATACGTAGAGACAAACTTGCGACAATCGACCTACGAACCGCTACACTACATTGACGGTTACTGTTAACGCCTTGGTGATGAAGTGATCGCGGTGGCTAAGAGTAAGCGAAAAGATTGTGTTCATCTGTGTTGGATTCCCTGCGCAAAGTAAGACTGACGGGTGGGGTAAATGCGTCTTATTGGTGGAACCAGCATAAGCTCCCCTTTACCCGTACATTATCCGTACAAAGCCATGTTATAAGACCCAACCGGTGGAGATGCTCTAAATGATCAGAAAGATGCCGTACCTTTCGGCTTCATGCAGCACTTTTCAGAATGAAATCCAGCCGAGAAAGCTGCAATTTGCGACGATGTCTCTTTCAAGGAGTAATTCCTTCGAAACAACACCGACGGTGTTGTTGCGTAATCATTGTGGAAAGTATGGTTGTGCAATTTCCTTAAAACAATAATCCAGATAATTATCCGGAGTACTCCTCTGTTCACCCATTGTCCATTGCGCAATGACGGACCACCAATACATCAGCGAAGACTACCTGGCGATGGCCGTGACTCTGCGGTTCACCGTGCCTCCAACAGTGGTCCCTGAGTACATAACAAGTGTACAGCTCAACGCAATCATTAACAATGACTTCTGTACATTCGTTAACCTACGTAAGTGTCTGGACAGCCCAGCCTTAGCCCATGGCTTTAGTGTCCTGCAAGAGCGGCGCTCTACCAAGTCAGGAGCATGAGGCTGCAAACACGCCGGATGTTGTTTCAGTCTACGAGCATCAAGACACGCCGACGATCAAGTGCTCGTCTCATCGATGAACTTGGCCCACAACCACGCCCTTCGCCACGACAAACCGCGTCGGCATCATCAAGGCATTCGAACGACTTGGTAAGGTTAATCATACAAGTAGTTGACTTATATTTAGATTAATCGCACTACGTCGAATAAGCTATTCATTTGTTTTATATATGCTTACAAATGATTACTACTTTTCTGTATTTAGCAGGTCATTCTGGTCATAATGTTGACCCACGTTTGGCGGGTGGTTACATTTAACTTATGTTTGGCGAGTTGTTACGCTGACCATGTTTATGACCGGTCTTATATTCTTTCCACATACCGTGTAACTGACAGATTATTGTGTTATCCAATGTATTGGCGAATCGTATGGTCAGTAGTATTTAATCGCATATTTCTTTTAATCTTGGTCTATTCACTGTTAATTGTTAACACTTGACAGTAATATACTTAGTGTTCTGCGTATATTCTGTTCTGGTTTTGATCTTTGCGGTTTCTACAACGCATGCACGTAGATAACGCAAGCTGTTCAAGAAATATGTCCGGCATCGACGACAGACCCAAGAAGCATTTCAGGTCAAGAAATTTGCCGCATTGTGAAGGCAAAGTACGGCCAAGA